TATTCAGAGTTTTATATACATATATATATATATATGTGCATATCGGTGTTGTGCAAGTTCATGAAAATTAGTGATTAGTTGCAGATACTAGTTACATTGTTCAAAAGTGATTAAAATACTTATCTGCCTGTAAACGTAATAAGTTACAAGGAAAAGTAACTTTTGTGTTACTTTTAAAGGTATGCTTCAATTCTCTTATGAATACCCATATAGCTGTATTATTTTAGTGTTCCAAGGACACAGTGTTGGGCAAGACAACTGTCATATTTTTCTGTCATGTTACCTATTAGTTGGAGTATTGTCATACGTATGCCGACCTTTGATTCCTTCGCATTCCAGTGTTGTATGGATTTGTCCAGTGTGTGGCTATGAAGACAGAACAGAATTGGCTTGATTTGAAAAGGGGATGTAATGCTGACACTCAAACCTTCCAAATACCAAAATAGTTCCCTGTGTGGTGCATTCAGAAATGTTTAACATATCTTGTAACAAGTAGTTAGTTCGTAGTTGTATGAGTTACTACTCTGTTTCTGTCAGCTCAAACCAGTCTGGTCATTATTACTATGCCTTCAAGGCATTTTTTTGCCCAGAAAACCACCACTGGATGTTTTGTCCATTTTAGACTATTTTCTGTGAAAATCTCAGTAGATCAGAGGTTTCTGAAATACTCAAACCAGGCCTTCTGGAACCAGCAACCATACCATTTTCAGTTACTTTAATGGCATTTCTTCCCCATTTTTTGATGTTTCAGCAGATTGTCTTGACCATGTCCACATGCCTAAATGCACTGACTTTCTGCCATATGATTGGTTGATTAGATATTGCTTAAATAAGAGGTTGAACAGCTGTACATAATGAAGTGGTTGGTGAGTGTATGATTTCTTTCTGGCTGATAGGCCATGGCCAGCGACTGCACATTGCAGTCAGCCATCAGAAAGTAACACAATTGTATAGCAAAATGACAACAAATCCTAATTAATTAACTTCTTTATAGGTTGAAAGATCAACTTAGCCTTTCCCCAGTATTTCCCAGATGAATGCAGCTGGTAAACTTCAAATTTCCTCTCAAAGTTAAGCTAACAACACTCAAAACAATTGTAATCCAGGACACAATTTTGTGCAAGCACCATCACCATGCTCTTGTATGAGTTGTGCAGGAAGAGAATTGTGGCCACCATTCATCATTTTAGCTTCTTTTGCTGGTCAAACACATTGTTTACGCTCTGCCATTGCCTCTCTGTACAGTGGGTGTTGCATCTATTTGCTACAGATGACACACATCAGCATCATCAGTGATAAGTCTGGCAGGAGTTTAGGATTTGTTTTTGTGTGCTTGTAATGTTTGTGTATCAAGGTTTTATGAATGGGGCCTATTTTCGCTACATCATATGAGCCAGCCCTGATCAGAACAAAACCTTCTCTAATAACACAGTTTAATGCAATGCAGCATGTGAAGATGATACAACACCAGTCATTATAAAACCTGGTCAGTAATAAATATTGCAATTACTGAACTAAAACTAAAACAAGTTTAAACAAACAGTACATGCAGTACAGTATGCATTCACAGATGTCCAAATGAATACAATATTACCATTTTGCGAGCAACCTCTAATGTATCTCAAAGCACCGATGCTGGCACAAAAGACTCAATACTAAGTTTGTGTGGAGCATCTGGGGATCTTTAACTGAGTATACCATCAAATAAAGGAGCTGAACCCTCCAGGATCTTCACATCAGGACAATCTTGAGCATATCTGGACCAAGGCCAAGTGTTGAACCAGCCCTCTTTACTAGCCTTTCAGTCCTATTTCTTGGAGGAACCATAACTCCATAAAGCATACATAAACATAAAGCAGCCATGACCATGATGCTTTGGCAGATATGATCAAACGGTGAACCTAAAGGAGGGATTCCCAGGCTCCTATTTGGTATTTATATCTACGCTGTTGTTGTGGACATGGTTGGGGACGTGTAGAATAACCCTTTGGTTTATTTTGGACATCACTGAATAAGCTGAAGAGGCCTTGTGCAGCTGTAAAGCTAACGCTGCACTGCTGGCTCCAATGGGTCATTTAGGATATGACAGTGTTGCACTTATCTTACTGGACATTTTTTGTTAGATTTTTAGTATTTTTTATGATTTTGCACTTGAGACAATACCAGTGTGAGTCTTTGCTTATTGACAACATGCAGCATTTCAGCAGTCAAACTGTTACAGTAAGATTCTTGGCCAACATGACACACTTTTAAATGTTTTAATCCATTTCATTTGATTTCTTTTGTTTCCTCTGTTGTATCAATATTCCACTGAACCGTGACTTCAAGACTGAGGTACATACTAATCTGTGAACTTTGTGTAACACTACAGGTTTTGGTTGGGGGTACTCCAACAAAAAAAAAGCACATAGAGTAGGGCGTCCCAGCTTTCTATTTGGTATTTATATCCACACTGTTGTTGTGGATGAGTTGGGAGACGTGTAGAATAACACTTTGGTTATTTTGGTTGTCAGTCTAAAGAGGCTTTGTGCAGTTCTACAGCTCACAGTGCACTACTGGATTTAATGGTTTGTATATGTTTAACATGAATACTTTGGATTTGTCTTGATGGATATTTAAATTTAATTTATTTTTAAAATCATTTTATACTATAGAATATATAGAACATGAAGTCACATTTTCTTGCATACAAATAATCCCATTGGATTTCATGGGCTCAGGTACACAGATTTAAAACTCAGAAAAAGGTGGAAATTGGTATTTGGTTGGTTTCAGAGAAAATGTTTGACTGATGTTCGCTGATACTGAGGATCTGCTTTAGCTGAGTTTTGCATACTGTTGCTGTGGGCTTGACAACGCACTTGGAGTTCAAGGTAATTATGTCAAAAATAATCTATAATAATTTACAAAGTTGTAATTTTCATAGGCTGTTAAACATCTCCTAAAGGTGCAGTGGCAAATGTTGTGCGGCTCGGCTCTGTTTGTGGCCCAGAATTTAGGAACTGCTGACTCCCCTGACAGAGTGTACAACACCTACAGTGTTCCTGTTCTCTGTCGAGTTCAGGTTCGTTTCAACATAAACATGCTGATTGTTTTCAGTTCAGAGATCTGAACCAG